TCATCATGGCACAGCTCGTCGTCCAGATAAGAAAGAGCTAGGGTTACCCACCGCGTGAATGGCTGGAAGAACATAGTGTGATCAGCGACGCTGCCAAGTGCCGAAGCACTCAATCGACGTCGTCGCATGCGCCGAGATACCCATTTCCCTGGAGCTTGGCTTGCCGAAGCCCTGCAAAGACGGGTGCGAAGCTCTAAATCGTAGTCTTACTTTCGGCATCGCCTTTCCGCCCAGCCTTTGCCCAGTCACCGGCTGGTGATAAGACGGGCATTGCGAAATAGTCCCTTGATGCTGTATGGGTCAACCGCCGGCTTGGGCTACTAGCTAGATTCCACCAATTCCTGGAAACGAGGGTGGAGTGTATCCACACAGGACACCTGCTCGAAAGAGAGACAGTCAAGGAATACCAAGACGGCGCTTGGGATGAGCAGATTTGCCGCTTCTGTGTCACTGTAAGGATGCTATGAGTATAACTGCGCTCGTTTGCCCAACCCTTGCGGTTCAGCAGCAGCTCATTCTTTTGCACCGCCCATACTCTTCCGTGCCTGCTAATCATGTCGGCTAACGCTGGCTCCAACGCCGTGGACATGGCCATGTCCAACGAGCCCAACAAGGCTGCTATGCCTTTGTACGAGATCGACGAGAAGCGTGCTCTTTCTGACGATCACACACCGTCGACTCTCAGCCACCAGCCTCATGGCGCTGATGTCTTCGAGGCCGACTTGGAAGGCGAAGAGCCTACGGAAGATGAGTTGAAGACACTCCGCCGTGTATCTGGAAAGATTCCGTGGACTGCCTTCACCATCGCTTTCGTCGAGCTCTGCGAGCGGTTTGGTTACTACGGGTGCCAGGTTTTATGTATGTTGTCGCTCATCCCTACACAAGAACCAGCCCACTGACCATTTCAAAGACACCAACTTCATTCAACAGGATCTGCCCGTGATTGATGGTGTTCCACAAACCACTGGCAAGGACCCTCGCTCAGAGGGTCAACCCGGCGCGTTGGGCATGGGACAGCGTGCATCCTTCGGTATCGGTCAATTCAACTCTTTCTGGGCATACAGCACACCCATCATCGGTGCCATTATCGCCGACGAGTACCTTGGTCGCTTCAACACCATCTTCATCGCCATCGCCTTCTCTATCTTGGGTCACATTCTGCTCATTATCTCCGCTATTCCCGCTGTTCTCACCAGCGGCAATGCCATCGGTCCTTTCATCCTTGGTGTCATCACCCTCGGTTTCGGTACCGGAGCTTTCAAGGCCAACATTTCGCCCTTGATCGCTGAACAATACCGCCAAACCAAGCCCCGTGTCATCAAGGACCCCAAGACTGGCGAGCGCGTCATCTCTGACCCCAACATCACGCTCTCTCGTATCTTCTTGTGTATGTTGTCCCCCAATGCGATATTTTAAGCAAGCCACTAACATATTCCAAGACTTCTACATGTTCATCAACATTGGCTCTCTCACTGGACAAATCTCCATGGTCTACGTTGAGAAATACGTCGGCTTCTGGTGTGCGTGGCTGCTACCCACCATCATGTTCTGTTTCTGCCCCGTCGTCCTTTGGGTCTGCAGGAACAAGTACATCCGCACTCCCCCCACTGGTTCCGTTCTCATCCGCGCCTTCAAGGTCTTGAAGCTCGCCACCAAGGGCAAGTGGTCTCTCAACCCTGCGACCACGCGCAAGAACTTCAAGAGCGAGCGTTTCTGGGAGGACGTCAAGCCCAGCCACCTCGGTGCCAACAAGCCATCCTGGATGCAGTTTGACGACGCTTGGGTCGACCAGGTTGCTCGTGGCCTGCGCGCATGCTCTTGCTTCACCTGGATTCCTCTTTACTGGTTGAGTTACAACCAGATGAACAACAACCTCACGTCTCAGGCTGCCACCATGACCCGTAACGGTGTTCCCAACGATGTCATCACCAACCTCAACCCCATCTCCCTGGTCATCTTCATTCCCATCGTTGACAACTTCCTCTACCCCGCTCTCCGCAAGGCAAACATCCGCTTCACACCCATCAAGCGCATCGCTTTCGGTTTCATCCTCGCGTCTTTCGCCATGGTTTCCGCCGCCGTCATCCAGCACTACATCTACGCCGAGGGCCCATGCGGCGAATACATGAACAGCTGCGACGACCCAGCCCCGATCAACGTTTGGACCCAAGCCGTGCCCTATATGCTTGTCGGTTTCTCCGAGATCTTCACGTCGATTACTGGACTCGAGTTTGCGTTCACAAAGGCACCCAAGAACATGCGTTCGCTCGTGACATCGTACTGGCATTTCATGTCCGCCTTCTCCAACGCGCTTGGTCAGGCGTTTGTGTCGCTGTCTGAAGATCCATTGTTGGTTTGGAACTACACGACTGTTGCGATCTTGGCGTTCATCGGTGGCATCCTCTTCTGGTTCCATCAGCGCAAAACGGACAAGCAGGAGGATATTCTTAACATGCTTCCCGACTCCAACTACATGGGCAAGGACCGAAGGCATAGTGTTGCTGGTGCTGAAGAGGCTATCGCTGGCCACAATGTCGAGGCGCATGTTCGCACCTAGTTTCAGTCGTGGGCGGTTTTATGCCATACGTCGACGTGTATGGGTGCGGCTGCCAAGAGTGGCTGTGTGTATGGAGCTATTATATGATTGAAGATACCTATCTGGCTTGAAAGCTAGTTGATCCATGAGACTTTTACCTAGCTCAAACACTTCTATATTTTTCCGCTTTTGTATTGTGACGTGAAGCACAGCCAACCACGAACTAGCTACTGCATGTGCTACATACATGGACGCGTTACCCTGTATTGCCAATACTGTGTCGAAGTTATGATATCTTCTTCGTAAGTCGTCTCCGTGGTCACGCCCTTGCTGATCCAAGACCAGTGTCTTCAGAAGCGAGGCATTAGTGAGCATGAACGGCAACCTTCAGAAATGGACAGCGCATGATAAAGACACAACATCATAAGACCAAGAATAACAAACTTCAGAGATTGAATAGCCGTCGAAGCCTGCATGTATATACGTTGAGTTACGGAGCGAACTGGTATTTGCAGTAGGATATACGACCTGATGTGCTCACCAACACGCAAGCAAATGCATGTGCCTTCTACCACTATTGATGAAATTGTGCTCACGCACCATGATTACCAGGTAGTGTTGGCTATCCATTGCTCTGTCTTGCCGTTACAACTTCGTCGTAGCCCAAGTCGTACTCGCCGGCTTGGCAGGTCAGGCTCGTGTAAAGTTTTCAACTTGGTCGATATGACGGGAGAGAAACCCTAGTATCCACACAGTGTACGTCTCTAGTCCTCCCACCAATCTTATATGCGTACATTCACCACCACAGAGCAAAGATAAGAACAACGCTGTACTCACATTCCGTCGTTATCTCTGTCTTGATTGGGCCCCACGTAGCCATGCTCACATCTTTCCGGATGGTAATCGATGTACTTAAGCACGGCAACGATACTGGTGGGTAACTTCTCATAGTCGGCTAACGGTCCGCCCCCTTGGTCAGGCGGAAGAGGGCAACCCGCGGTCATGCAATCATCTAGATCGGCATGAAGATGAGATCCGATTGGGCATTTATAATCGCCTTGGCTAGTAATGTTTGCTTCAAAGCAAGAAACAAGCTCAACGTCTTCTGGCGCCACTGGACCTTGTCCGTCCCCCCGTAGTTGTCCCCTTGGACCTCTGGTGGAATCGAGCCATGTACTATGGACAATATGCTCATCTGAATAATTATGTCCAGGGAACATATGCGTCTTGAATCTCGTAGTGATGACTTCTTTGTACCTCTTAGATAAGATCCACTGCTCCAAGTCTTCGAGACCAAGGAACTTGGCCTCAGACAGAAGTTTGTTATATCCCACGTAGTCGAATCCCTTCTCCCTCGTCCAGAGCAACGGATATGTGCTAGGTCTTTTGATATAGGTGAACAGTATTGGCCAGATCTCAGGGTCCGTATCGATGGGGAGCGAGCCGTCGGGCAACAGATCGATTCCAGCCCAATTACCGCCAAGCAGAGCGTCGAAGTAAGGAACGCTCATAAGGTCGGATTTTCGGATGCGATATTTGCGGCCGTCTACGTCGAGGGCTACGAAATTGCCGTCAGGGATCGGGGCGTCGCGAGGGAGGGCGAGTTGTTGAGGGGCGCGCGCGGCGTGCGAGCTGTGCGAGGCATTCGATGCGTCGATTTCCATGGCGCTGACATTCGATGTCATGGTCGAGGACTGGCTGAGCGGTCGGTGTGACGGGGGCCGATTGATGTGTGAAGTGATGAGAGATGGCAGACCGAGGAAGACGCGTCTCCAAACGCGCCAAGCCTTGCCCCGCTCGTGCTGTCCGCTGTTCCCCCAAGAGGAAATCCCTCCTACCAAATCTAACTCTAGAGGAACTCAACAATCTTTGGGAAACATCACAATGTCCTGCCAGCCTTTCGCTAATGACGCGCTGCAATGCGTGCGGTTGGGCTCTCGATTACTTCAATACCGGCACCGATTACGCCGAACACAAACCAGTCCACTTCTGCGACGCCTTCTCTAAAATCCAGATGTCGCTGGCACTCCGTGGCTATCACAAGGTGTTCATCTTTGCGGAAATGAGAATATGTTAACACTGTAGTGTCTTGTTCTGGGTCGAGGCGGAGTGGATTGCCCATATGCATGACCACGAGCGTGCATAGCATAGGAGGACAGAGGATCCAGGTGTTGTTCAACAGTCATGTGGGTAGATGTTATGAAAGCGGAATATCAGACATTGTAACTGTGCCTAATCTCTTGAGCATGAATCGTGCCACCTCTTATCTGGGTACGGCCCTGACCGTTGTCGCCTCCGCCCGCACATCTCTCTCCCCTCACCTCCCACGGCGATATCTCCAAGCCTCTATTTAGCGCTGCCCTCCGGCGCAACAACACTTGGGGCTACTTACCCGCGCTGCTCTCTATAAAACTGCGCATTGTGACCTCCTCACCGCTGCGCGTCTATATCACGACTCCAGGCAATGCCGCCAAAGACCATTACGGAGGAGATCGACGACGACACCGACGATGAGATCAACAGTGAGACCGACGACGACACCAACGGCGAGATTGAAGACGAAGACGAATCTGGCACCTTCGCTACAAACGACGAGCTTACAGCAATCGCAGAAGAGGATCCCACGTCCGCCGCAGGGCTCGCATACCAGACTTCCTTTGGCACTTTGCTCTGGCAATTGACCCATCGTCACAACATCTGCGATCGTGTTACACGAGAACTTATTAGCAGTGTTGGTACCTAGGCAGTAGAATCAATCTCAGACTCTTACCCTGCACCATTATCAACTTCCCTGTAAGGTTGACTTGGCCATGGGTCCAGATCGGCAGGCCCAGAATTCATAGGCCTGTACCAAATTCAACACTGCATCCTCGTCGTGTTGGGCCCTAGTAATGAGGCGACAACTCCAGTCATTAGAATAGAGAAGGGCAACTACAAGCGTGGCCCCCAAGACGTAGCAAGGAAGCACATAGTCTTCAATCAACACCAGACCGCTCTCTTGTCGCATCTCAAGTTGCCTTATACACCGTCTGCACACTCTCTCCTCTATGGTCACCCTTTATGTTTCTTGTCGTGGTCACTTCAATGTCTCGGTGGTGCGAATCCTGATTCACCGCGGAATCCAGACCATTCACTCACCACACTAAGCTAAGACAAACGCACCACACGTTGAGATATATATCCGACCAACGTCAAAATTGCGGCTTCAACCGTCACATAAAACTTATCCTACCTTGATAATATCAATTCAACGCGCACACCCCAGCAACAATGGACGATATCTGGAGCGACACGGAGATGAGCGAGACATCGTTTACCACTACCGAGTCATCACCGCCGCCATCTCCCATCCTGACAGACTACCAAAACAATCTCATCGCCACCTATGCGTTCCACAGCGATAGCATCAGCGACCTCATGAACATCGCCGTCGATCTTGAAATCAGCGTTCGACGCGAGCGCGACGAACCGAGCCTCCCATATCTTACCGAGGATTTGGAAAAGACGCGGGAGGAGCTGGTGTTGCACAGGGACGCGAAGCGCAGGATTGAGAGGAACCTGAAGAAGGAGAAGGAGAAGTTGAAGATGGTGGTTGGAAATGGGTCAATCGTGGCGAAGCAGCAGTTGAATGAGATGGCTCGTTATATGGAGGTGGACAAGACGATAGAGTGTCTACGCTGAGAGATCGTGAGCTATGGCGCGCAAACATGCATATCTTGCGGGGGTCCACCGCGTCTGGTGCAGGGGCGCTTTGACAAACACGACGTGCATCAAGTTGGGTCTGGGACTGAGAGGACGCAGTAAACAAAACGGTTTCATGCCTTTCCTTGGATGCTATGCATACTCTTTCTCATACGAGGAATAATGTGTGCTCATGTAAATGGGGTATACTCTTAATCGCAACCATCGAAACCGGACTAGATGAGCAAATGACAACAAGAAGTTGGAGATTACAGAAGTATACAGGGTATTGTTACACGCAGTACAAATACAGAGATTAACAGCAAATGACGCGTGATTATGCGACATGAAGAGTGTTTGCGCCCGGGGCGGTGCGCTTTTGCTAAACGGTCTCCTCCGCGTCTCCATTCGATACTACGTCAAACCCGAGCATCGGATGCGTCACCTCTCCCCAGCACCACAAGCAGGTCTTGTTCCCAACCTGTCGCCCACAGGCGCAATGTTCCTTGTGTTCGGCGAATATTGTATCAAGGTTAGACTCTTCCGCTTCGTAACAGCGCAGGCATAGCCAGCGGTCAAGGAAGTGATTACGCAAAGTGCACTGACACTGGGAGTCTTGAAGACTACTTCGGCTATCCGAACCGTCTTTTGGGAGGCAGTCGTTGCAGAACCATCGTTTCCTTTGCTCTGTTGCTTGGTATAAGGCTCGAAGAACGGGCGAGGGGTGCACGACGTTTGAAGACGCCGATGCGGCCAAGGTGTGACTGCCGAGATCCAAGTCCAGGAGCTCTTCGACACACTCGGGTAGACCGAAACTATCTTCTTCAAAAGGAACGTCGATGAAGCCCTGGTCGTGATGTGGTGCACTGGAACCATGCGCAGGGCTTTCCCACTCTGGCGCGGAGTGATCACTAGACATGTGGTTTGGGCTGAGAATAGGTATCTCAGAGGGTGACAACAGGATGAAGCCGCTAAAGTTGGGCAACTCATCCTCATCACATGGCGTTTCGTAGATGCTCTGGTATACGCAGTGGATGCGGCACTCGTCGCAGGTGCTAACTTTACATCTTGAGCAAGGTCGACACTCCGTATCTGACTCTTTTGCGCCGCACTTGATGTACTCAGTACAGTCATAAGCATCGAAGAAGGTCGACTTCTTGTGACGCTTGTTACGGATCCGTACACCCCTACCAGAACACTTGAGTTTGCCCAGCAAGTTTTCCAAGCTACTGGAATGCGGCAGTATCGTCTTGTACATGGTCTTTGAGCATAGAAGTAGCGCCATGAGGTCGTCTGGGTATAGGCTTGATATGATCATCTCCAGCAAGCCATATTCGTGGAACACTTCCATGAGAGGACACCGTTGCCTTGGCACAGCCAGACTATCCACTCTTGTCTTTTTGCGCGTCTTCAATCGCTCGCCGGTCGACCTCTTGCGCTTTGTACTCTCCATTGTCTCCCGATCGCGATAGTCTTGATCCCAAGTACCTCGTGGTTCCGTTGTCCTATTGGTAGACACGCGGTGGTGTAGTGATTGAGTAGCCATATTAGCCTCGAGACTCCTAAGAAAGATGAGCAAGGAAGACCAAGGACGTCGGTGCGTCAGTCGAAGTCATCATGGGCCAGCAGATGCACCATGAGAGTACCGGCTCATGAGCACCACCGAGTCCGCGCAATGACGAGAAGCGCATCTCAAGGCGACGTACTTGTCTCTCACGTCGCAACGTGGTTCTAGCCTTCCGCGCCTCTGATAGCGCTTAACAGCTTTCAGTACCTGGATCTGGGTCCATCTTGGCGTTGTGTTGACAATAGTGTGGGGGACGCTCAACAGGCGGGACGAGATGAACAATGGCGTTGTATTACCAACACCTCGCAGCAAAGTGGGGCGTCTATTTCAGAACCAGGGCGATTCAGAAAGAGCATGAGAAACGATGAGGAATTTTTAGTCTCGTCTATTTTGACCATCGTGGACAAACGGGGAGATGCGGAATTGCGTTCCGGTAGCGGCCGACCGACGAATGAGCATCCATGACCTAGTGATGCCTCGGTCATTGCTTCTTTCCGTCTCCCTTGATCCTTCACTCGACTTCGCGCTGTTCGGATGCACGCAACATATGCGCAACGCACGCGCAACTCTACTTCACCATCGACCGTCACATTGAACCACGCCTCCGTTGATTCCGATCATGCCATCTTACTGGCCCTTTCATAACGTTGGTGGTATGCGCGACGCACCGCTACTAAGCCATCGTCCAGGCATTTGAACCACAGTCACGCGTGCCCAAAGCATCGAGAGGCCGCGACAGTTACCGTTAGCTGTTCAAGGCTTTTCATCCATAGGATTGTTACATCATGGGTGCTTCGATGGGACGATGATTGTGCACACAGCTCAATCGCATTCTCGAACGTACATACTCGCACCTCTCGAGCTTTCCCATGGGCGATATTTCGAGCTTCCTCCCAGTTCCCTCATTCCGATGCGTAGTCACCACCTCCTTTGGTCCCATCTCATCGCCGCATTGGCATGACCCTTACTTCTTCTCATCCGGAATTGAGTAGCAGCAGCCGATATCGAGCACATTATAGAAGTCGCAGTCGCGCTGGACGTAGAAGCCACCCTTCTTGTAACAAGTCGTTTTGGTAGTGCAAATTCCCGACGGGTCCGACCTTCCGCATGGTGCCTGAAGATGGGTGTACGAAGTCAGTGTTTGTCTCACATGCAGTTCGTACATAGGCAGTTACTTGCTGGGTAGGGGTCTTTCGGCGCAGCGAGAGCGATGGAAGCGATCGCGGCGAAGAGAACGAGAACCTTCATCTTAATGTTTGATGACAGATGATGCGATTTCGATCAATGGAGGTGTTGGTTTGGAATCTCGGAGATTTATGGAGGTGAGCGAGTAAGTTGACGGCTTGTGTAGTGATGTCGCTTTGGTTATCACAAATCAATGTTTATATAGACAGCAGCCTCGTATCTACGGCGCCACTGACATCGCTACAGAGGAGGAGCTCATCCAAATGTCCTGCGTCGAAATCCAAATTTAGCTGGGACTATCTAAGCGACTCCGAACCGCCCAAGGTCCGTCCAATCCACGCATCTCTGCGCCCACCAGCCATCATTCTAAGCTTTGCGTATTCGCAGCAGCGATATCGTCATGTTACCATCTAGGCCAATGTAAACCTTCAACCGTAGACGTTGCGATAGCGCTCATATGCCTAAATTGCGTCGCAGAATTTAGCGAGAAATGCAATCTATCTTCCCCGGATTTTCGTATTGCCAGCACTTCTGATAAGTCCCCCACATGCGAGCTAGACATTTTACCATATGAAACGGACGTACTGTCCTTCGCGGCTCGGATACCAGGCAGATATGACGTCGCTGTCGCATCCAGTGCTGAATTCTGTCGCGTCGCGGTATCATCGAGGCGGAAGGTCGTATGAACTCATAGGGTACCAAGGCAGTTAAGACGGCACTACTTCTGCCTTGGAAATCTACACCGGTTGCAAGTCCGCAGAATTCAGTCGCTCCAGCAAACCACCTCACTAAGCACGCTCCAGATCTCTCTGGCACAGCACTCGTGACCCACTGTGGCTAGGATTGCAGCCATGTTAGACAATCAGCGCTGCGTCGTTCTTGCGGAACTTCTGCACGCTGCTGCGCATCACTGCAACTTTGCCACGTGAGTATGGAAAGTAATCGTGGTAGGTGCTTCACGCGCACGTGATGCAACGTCTTGTCTGAACGAAAGAGCAAGTCTCCCCAGGGCCATGTTGCTAGCAATTTCATCCAGAAGAGGACTCTGGACGAGTCACGTCTTGAACCACTACTCCCTGTTGTCTAATCTGCTGTGTCCAGTTGGCCGACAGTAATGCGATGGCCTCCAACGCCGGTTCCAATGAGATTTGGCATGATCCCAGCCTTCATGGTGTAGTGTGGCGTATTTGACGTCGCAGCGCGTGAGCAGGAAGCGCCACCAGTGGTCTAGGCTCTCTGTATAACCGTTTGAGGTGGCTCGAGGTGACGAGATGCATGTCTCCAGTCGTCCCTAATCCTCCTGACTTCACTGCTAACAGTTAACATATGTCTTTTGCGGGCCTAGAGCCTCCATCATCAGCGGGGTAGCCCAATGCTGCTACATCTATATCCACGTGTTTCTTCCAGAGCCTGGAGCCTCGATACACCAACGATTCCATGGAACAGAGCACGGTCTCAATAACCAGCGTTAGAAGACTTCCAAGATGGCTATGGGATGTGCCGCTGTCTGGTACAATAGTCGGCCGCAGTCGCACGAGGATAGTTCGCGTCTTCGACCTCGGCGCGCGATCCCAAGGGCTGATGCGCCCGCTGTCGGGCGCGCTAAGAAATGGCGCATTGCAAGGTTACGTCACGTACGCGCATTCCATCACCAAGTCAGCCTCACACACAGCCTCTACTTACAACACCGGGCGTAGCCGCATCATGGACGCGATGCTGCGGCTTATAGCAGGGGAACAATCACCACCTTTGCCGGATGCGGACGCGCGATTTAGAATATTCCTGGTCGATCTGCTGGGACAGCGCATTGCATTGCACCCTCAACACCAAAATTTTCATCATCGCAGGCCCGTGTCCAGCGCCATGCTCAAAAGGAACTACACTACGACGCGCTCGGTAAGCTTCTAGAAGGCCAGTAATCGAATCATATAACAGTTCGCTTATCTTTTCCATGCACGGTCGGCGAGTGTTTCCTTCCATGGGGCTTCTAGAAGATAGTTTCTCGGCCTGTTTGTCGGAACGATTAGCTGGCCCAGGGCACCACAGCGGTCAACGGCGGCACTTAGACCTGATTGGTTCATGTCGCCCCCTCAAGTGGGCAGGATCAACCGACCTGCAGCCGCATCTCCACCTTTTGTTTCCAGCATCAGCCGCATCCATTCCCCTACGACATCGTTCTGTATGGACTCTATATCTCTGTGTTTCGTTCAGTCATCGTTTTCTCCCGAAATACATTCCAGTCCACCTTCACACAAAGACGCCACCAGTCTGGTGCATGATCCCGATCCATCCGTGTCATGTTGAGATGACGATTTCCCGTGTCTCGCAAAGGCTGTCTATCTAAACGGGCTAGTACCTTGGCCCCAGAATGGCCATGGCCCCACGGAAAGGAACGCGACGAGCGTGTGACCCTTGTTCTGTCAGTGAGTGTTAGGTGCATGTCAACGCTCGTGACACGACTGACATTACGTTTCCTTCGTCTAGGGAAAGTGCGATGTGATGGCAACCAGCCATGTTCAAGATGCGAAGCCGCTAGCTGGGACTGCACCTACTTGAAAACGCATGGGAAAAGCGGACCAAAAGGACCACGACGGACCACGGAAGCCGCAATCAGGAGACTGCAGGAACGCAGCAAGGGCACCCATGATGAGGGGTCAAGAAGCAACAGCGAGACGAGCTTTGACGCTGGAAGCCCAGTATCTACCGAGCTAACCTACCTTGACCCCATCTCTTTGATGAGCGATGCCGATGGTGAACCCAAAGCCTGGCCGGATATCTTGAGTCCAACCCTCTCCGCCACCCCTCACGAGCCTCAGAGGATATCGATTGCTTGCCTATCGCAATATTTAGATATCTATTCGGCACGCGGATACGGTATATGGCCGGTGGTCGATGCAGAGGCTCTGACGGCACGTCTTTTGACTCATCCCGATGATTTGGAAGCTTATGCATTAGCCACTGCCATATCTGCTGCTATAGTGAGCCAGTTCTCTATGGACGAATCGGGGAGTCCACTGGAGGGCCACTACAGCGTCCCGAGTGGCACATTTGAGATGGAAGCAAAAAAGGCAAGAAACGAATGCGATCATCTGGAGAACGTCACTGTGTTCTCTTTGCTGAGCAGCTTCTTCCTACATGTCTACTCAGCAAACGTTGGGAGGATGAATGCTTCCACAGTGTTGCTTGGAGAGGCCATCTTCAAAGCACACATCATAGGATTGCACAAGGCGAACCACTACGAACACATGACCGCGGAGCAAACGCAATATGCGTTGAGAGTATACTGGCTCCTCTTCATCACGGAGCGAGCACATTCTCTGCAACACGACGTGCCAACAACACTCAAGCGCGCCCCTAATCTCCCTCGACTGGAAGACCTGCACGATGGATCAGTCACACCTGCCTTTGTTCAACTTTGCCGGCTGTTCAACATTTTGGATGTCACCATAACCGCCGAACCAGCAGCTGCGCGCCATGCCCTTGCATTAGCTCAGCAACAGCTTAGCAGTGATGAGGACCCTCGCAGCCTCGAAAACGAGCTCCAGCGCGCAGACATCACAATGACGCAGCAATGGATGCGCATCTTCTTGTGGCAGCATGCACTCAATGTAACGAATCTGAGCAGTCGCGCCAGCCAGGATGAGGAGTTCTCATTTCGCTTTCCCGCCAAAGTCGCTCAAAACGTCCTCAGTAATCTGAGTAGCCTCTCCCGCCAGAGCATCGAGGCGCATGGACCCGGCATGGTATGGAGTATCTCGCTAGAAAAGTAGAGTCTCACTAACATGTACACAGGAGTCGAAGCTTTTCGATGTCGCCAACTCGCTTGCAGACGTCATGATGATTATGCCTTCTCTCAACCACGAATCGCACTTCGACGTTGGACCTAGAGATCTGATCCATTCGCTAGCGCAAGTCCTAGCCTCCTTTCGTGGTGGCAACCCTGCTGTCATCAGCATACTGCAAGAGAAGCTCACTATGCTTGGACTCTCCGCTGGGTCGCCGCAGAAGTTGCTTGAGCTTTCCTCGCCAGAAGAGGAGCACGAGGAGTGGCACGACCGCTCCATGTCTGCCCCCTCTACCTACCCGTCCTTGAGTCCGGACGTTTCAATGTCACCCTCACTACAGTCGAGCATGAGTATGGACGGGACGTATTGATCTTCCCAGATTACCGCAGAAGACCTTTTGCAGTATTATGCACATACGGACAAATATCCGATTGCACAACTCGTCCAATCATGGCCATGCAGGCAGTCGTGCCTTATCGATTCGGTTGCCTACCGTGCGCAAGACAGGCGCTTGTCAGCAAGCGCCCAAAACTTTCAACAAGACGTGAGCTAGCCATGGAATACCGCGCATTATCGAAGAGACCAACATGATTGATGCGCCAGGCTTTGGCCAACGCCCGACAAAACGCCCCCTCTGTTGCTGCAGGAACTCCGTAAAGGTCCAGCAAGATTACTCATTGGTCTCTGCTAAATGAGTGCCTACGAGCCCTGGACAGGGTCACGCACCATGGTGACAAGGACAACGTCCTGTTAAGACATCATAGGGATTGCAGTAATGCCACCCCCGAAGGCCGAGTCGCGCGGATATATGGAAGGAAATCACGGCAGATGATGAGCTTGAACACTCGCCAAAGCAGAAAGTCAACGCTGAAGTGACGCAAACACACGCTCGGATCAGAGTTAAGAGGGGACTAGCGACAGCGCATGTAAATACGATGAACGTTATCAAGGCCCGTGGGTCCTTGATAGGGTGTTGCTTGGGTCGTTCCCGCTCTCCATCTAAATAAAAGGACAGCAAGCGTTAGCGTTAGCAACACGCCGTAAGCATGTCTTTAACCAGTCCAGGACGCAAGCATTGGCCTGGAGCGAATGAAGTGTCTCGACACTCGATTCGGAAGTGACACGAAGCCAAAACCGCAGCATGCTAGTTCTATTTTGCAGCCGACCTTCAAATTATATACATCAGATTCGCCATTAGCAGTCATCGCCAGCTCCCTCCCTCATCTCATAGATATAGGAAGGCCGGGATGACCTGGAGCAACTGGGCTTTCATTCATT